AAAAAATAATAAAGATAATAAATAAATAAAAGGGAACGAACTATTATAATTGTCTTTCAAATAATAGACTAACGAGATTATGACCTAGACTCTAACAACTGTTTACAGTTCCAACAAAGTAATTGATATACACATATATTTTTAAAAATTTGCATTGCAAGTTACAAAAAAAAAATAAAAATAAAAAAATTAAAAGATGCTTTGTAATAATAGATTAAATGTTTATATATACTAAAAAATAAAATACATGCTAACTTTTGTTTTAAAAATATTTTGCAAGCGAAATTTTGATCTGCTCTCTAACAACTTTTTATTTACTTGAACTTCAAACAAAGCTCGCTTTTTCATATTTTAATTACAAGTTTTTAATTAAATGTATTTCATTAAAAAAGGATTTGCTTCAATGAACTTTTATATTTTTGTGTTTTTTTTTTTTCTTTTCATTCCATAAAATGTATTTTAAACGCATATATATGTATGTATATATATGTTCATAGCTGCTTCCCAGAGCTAAACGTATATATATTCATTTTTATTTCATTTGTTGTAGAATTTGCTTGCAGCGTGTATTTAAGTCACATACAAAACTATAGATATGTATATATATATATATAGGGGAATTTTGTAGTTTTTTATTCGCACATTTTAATACTCAAACAGAGGCGTACGCACATGAGCTGAAACACAAAGCGAGATGACTTTGTGCATTTGCATTCGCACATACATTCACATATGCAAAGCCACCCACCCACACACACACACGTAGCTAGAACAAATGTTGCCTTCATTTTTCAGGGACTTGTTTGGTTGTTTGCTCGGACACTTTCACTACCCCCCACTAACACAGCTGCAGCCGCCCCTTTACGGTCGACTGACATTTTAGTTGCCACAGCGCTCAGTTGCAGTTGTAATGCTTGTATGTATGTATCTATATGTTTGTGTGTGTGCGTGTGTTTGTATGGTTTTTTTTGTTGTACTTACCGCCCAGTTACTTGCACACTAAAGTTAAATGTCATGGCCATAATAGCGACCATTATATCAGCCATGGCTAAGGAAACTACAAAGTAATTCGTTATAACTCTGCAAAGAGAAGAGAGGGAGAGAGTGAGTGAGTGAGTGAAAGCACAATCAGTAAACGAAAATAAAACCAGATATTACAAATCATGACAGCAGCCCAAGCAGCAACAACAATAACAATATGAACAATAGCTGTAACGGGCTGTGCGATATGGCATATCCTTAGATGACTAATCAGTATTTGCTGCAGCTCTCCACCTTGCACATCCTTGTGGTGTATGTGTGTGTGGGTGCCATTGCCCCCGAGGGGCGAACAGCTACCGTACCAATGGGTCTCTGTGAGGGACGGCAAATGACTTCTGCCTGCATTCTGCTGCCAGCATGGGACATAATTGAAAGACAAGCCAGGCAGCGTGATGGAAAATGTGGTCTTTTGGCTTAGCCAGGCTTTCCCGGCCACTGCCTCTCGCATGCGACATTTAAGCTTTACTGCATAATGAGTGACTGGCAATGAGCCGTGTGGCATGCCGCATGTGGAACTGTTGAATAATCGAAGCTATTCAATTCTTGTTAAGCAGTTTACGTGACGTATACGTAATTTATGCAGCCTAAAGCAGTTTCTGATTATGATTGAGCTCTAATGCAAATCCAATGTTTATTCCTCAGCTGTCAGCAGCAGAGACTTTTGTCTATTCTCTAGTGCTGCTGAATAACGGTCCGTAGTTTGTGCCGTTAATTGCAACAAATAGCCGCCATTTTGTAAATGCGTTGCCATTATTTAGCCAGCACTCTCTCTCTCTTCCTCTCTCTCTCTTTCTAGCTGCTTGCTGCCTCACTCGCACGCTTTAATCTGCTGCTAGCAGCATTAAATTTTCCAACAGCTAGCAAAATAAAGAAAATCTCATTTAAACACTTTGGCGGCCGGCGCTGCTAGAAGCCGGAAGCAGTTGCCAAGCATCCTTCAGCTGAAGGCGGCGCCGCGACGTTAATTAGTAGTCTCCATGTAATGCCAAATGGATGCTACATATTGGATGCCACTCACACACACACACACACACACACTCAGAGACGCACAGTGCAGAGCCGTGGCTCATCTTTAAGAGAGCAAAAATGTGAAAATAAATTCAGACAGCGCGGCAAGCGTTTTTATTGTGCGTCGTATAGAAAATTTAAAATTTATGCAGCCATAAAAACCATAAGCCGCCTTAATTGCCAAAGTTTTGGTCGAGGGGCTTCTGTGTCTGTGGTGTCACTTGCTTTGCTGTGATACCCTGCAAAACGATTAGCAGCGAGCATGACAGGCTTGCATTTGCTTTTATGCAATTTTTGGACTTTTGTTTGCCTGCGTATTTAATTTAATCCAACTCCTATTTCTGCCGTTGAATTTATTGAAATATTTGTGGCATTTATACAAACATTCATTTGCTGTGCATCTATTAGTCGCATATACCCATCGAATTCAAATTCTTCGCTCGCAATTTTGTGGACTGCATGGTGTTTTTTTTTTTTTTTTTTTTATATATACATATATTTGTTTTCAATAGTCATAAATGTAAAAGAGAACTGTATAAAGTCAACAAGAAGAAGAACAACAACAAAACACACACACGAATTCATTTAATAACAACAGCAACAACAACAACAACAATCACTAGCGCTTAAGACAGCAATTTAGCTGAGAGGGAGAGACAACAACAAGCAACACAAACCCAACATTAAGTAAACATTTGATATACTTTATAAGCGAAGCAACAACATTGATATACAGTATATATAAATATATATATATATGTATACTCAATATGCCATTTCATGATAT